ATACAAGGTTCGTGATTTATTATTATATTATCAGTTGAAAAATATTAAAAATACACAGATACACATTTTTCTTATACCTAAGCATTTAACATTCAAATTTTGACATTTTTTTTTTTTTTTTTTTAATATTTTTTTTTTTTTATTTATTTAAGTAATTTACAATCTATACAACATTATGTACAATGGGCAAATTTGATAGTTAATAATGTGAAATAACAGAGTTTAACATTTAAGGGCAGGCACTCAGCAGCACCACCCGATTAATTTTGACATTTAACAAATTAAAAATTTATTTTATAGTTAAAATTTTATATGTTCAACTTCTATAACTAAGGATTGAACATTTAAAACAAGGTTCCACGTAAATAGTTCAGCCCCTCATCCCTCTATATATCAGTCCCTATAACCAGTAGGAGAATATATTTATTTATGTTCTATATCAACAGGTATATACCCTTTTACAAATTATATAATGGAAACATATCAGATAAAAACTAAAAACTAAATAAGTGTAGTAAAACCTAACAAAAACAGACAAAATAATATAAAAATAACTCTGAGATAAAAGTAATAAATATATAAAATTATAGTTACATTATAAACTTCTTTTTTTTTTTTCATATTAATCAATTAATATTTTTTAATAATAACATAGATTTAGATTTAAAACAATTGCGGGAGAGGAAAAATATATCTAAATGTATACAAATTTTATTAGCTAAAATTAAAGCTCGAGAGAAAAAAGAATTGGTACCACTATTCGTTTTATAATGAGGAACTAAAAATAAATCTGAATTACGTGTAATTAGATATGGAATTCAAAAGCTGATTTCAGACAACAGTTCGGGACACACAATATTGTAATTAATAAGATCATAGACAAACATAATATCAGTTAATTTCCGTCTAAGTGAAAGAGAAAACAAGGCCAATATAATCTTGAATGGAGAGAGTCCTTAGATAATGGAATATTTGACAAGTATGAAATCCTTTTTAAAAATTTATATTGTACATTGTCCAAATCATTTATATATGTCAATTGTCAAGTATTTGCATGACCAGATTACGGAGCCGAAATCAAGATTGGATCTAACTAAAGATGTATACAAGGTTTTTAAGCATAATGGATTTTTAAAATCTATAGTATTTCTATTAATAAAGCCTAACATCTTAAACGATTTATTAATTATCATATTATGGTTCGTTTTAAAAGAAAGATCACTTTCAAAATAAATACCAAGATCTTTGATTACATTTACTCTAGTGAGAGAACACATTTCAATATTTTAGTTAAAAAAGATAGGATTTATTTACGTGTAAATGTTATCGTATGACATATATCAATATTTAATGGTAATAAATTTAATTTACTCCATAAATGAAATTTATTAAGATTATACTGAAGAGATTCAGCATCACTTAAAGAATTAACTGTACAGAAAATCTTCGCATCATCCGTAAATAATAAAATGTTTATAGAACAATCAAGGACTAATGGGAGATCATAATAAAATTAAATAATAAAAATTAAAATATATGATATGTTTACAAGCTAATACATATGGCACCAGTCAGAGTGGTGTATTAAGCATATTAAAATATTATAACAAAATACTTTAATTTAAATTTTGCACAATTGAATACAAGACAAAACATTACATATTATGATCACGATTTATGACAAAATAATAAGAATAATAATAATCAATAAAAATATTGATAACATTTTAAACATTATTCTAGCTTTGGCTTTGGCTACCCACCAATCGTCTATTGGATTATTAAATAGTAAGATATTAACTATTACTAATATGCCTAGAAAATATAAACATCAATGTAAAATATAATCTTATTTTATTTAAGTTAAGTTTTTTTTTAATGCAATAATTGCATGATTTCTAGGAGACAATAACGGATCAAAAAGTTTGGCGACAAAAGCTTCATTAATTCCCTGAAACAAAAAATAGTTGCTATTAATCTTAAGGTTAATATTAAATATATAATATATATAAATTAAAATGTATATTATATTTAAAGATACATCAGTAATCAAAAATGAAGACATTTTAGTTTTTATAATATTGGTATAAATATGGTGAACATTTTGTCTCTGCACCAAGGAACTCATAGTAACAACATAACTTGATGTACTAGATTTATTTGAATACATTTATTTTTCCAATGACAAATTTTTGAATATATTTTGAAAAAGATACAAAAATCAAGTTTTAAAGTGTTATTTTATAGTATGACCATAGGCGTGCGCATGGGGTGGGCCGTGGCCCACCCTAAGAAATGTACCATACTTATTATAGATGGCAACTTAGATCATATAAATAGTTGTTGTGGTATAAGAATTCTGATGTTTGATTTTCCTATATCAAAAAAATTAACAAGATTCTCTTAAATCTATAAAATATGCAAACAAAAAATGGTTTTATTTAATCAAATAATGTTGGTCCACAACCTAAAATATTATTTTGACCAATATTTTTTATTTATGTTTATTTTTGTTTTTTTTTATGTTTTTTTATGAAGTAAATTAAATTAAATTTTTATAAAGTGAAAAACCTAAACATAATAATTTACGTATTTTTTAAAAGTCCATACATTATTTTAAGTGTGTCGCTATTTATTTAGATTAAAGTTTAGATGTCACTGTAAAAAAAAGTTAAGAATCGCTAATCTAATAAAAAGTTAAAACATCAATATAATATACTTTACCTGCTCATGGAGGTACAGTAATCTATCCATTATTATGAGACCTTCAATAACTTGAGCTAATGCTTGTTTTAAAATAAAAAATACTTTTAATCGTTCATATTCAATCAGATATTTATCATAAAATGCATTTATTTTTTCATTATCAATCTAAAAATAAAATAAAATTTTAATTAATAAATTTATTTTTATATTTATAGTTTAGGAATATAGATGTAGATATACAATATAATTGTACCTCTATATTTAATTGTAATCGTTTCACAGCTTTATGCACATATTCATTAAAAGTCAAACATTTATGTGCTAATCGTCCAACATGACATCTACTAATATTCTTATACCCAAGTTCTTGTACTAAATAAACTTGTAATAAGGCTCTGTAGAATAGTGGTTTTGTTGAATTTATTATCTATGAAATATGAAAATTAATTAATTTTCTTTATTGTAATAATATGGTAACTACTTTCGTTAAAAAAAAACTTACGTCTTTAGAATTAAAAAATTTATCTGGCGATTGAGATGCACACATTCTAGCATCACGTCCAAGTTGAAATTTTTTTTCTCTTAGACAATTACTTACAGGAAAACCATAAGATTCATTTTTATTTAATTCATTTTCAATATCATCCCAAAATGGATCATTGGTGAATTCTTCTTCAATTAAATGATAACAACAGCCAACATTCATCAAAAGTTTTAAATTATTTTTAGGTTCAGTAAATAACTTTAAACATGTAGTACCTAAAGAACCACACGTATGTAGTCCAATTAAAGTAAACTCTTCTTTGTTATTTACTTTAAATTCAGTTTGAGCTAAATGTGCAATGTTGGTATTCTCAGTAACATATTCTGTAATTTGTTTATAGGTACTACCCAGCACAGCTGATTTTCTGCTGTATTTTTCATAATATTCTTCATAGGTATCAAGTTTTTCTTTTATTATTGGAGGCGTTGGTTTTTCTTCAGGAAAGTTGTTTGATTTTTTTTTAATGGACTGCCAATATTTCTGAAAAGATTGCAGCATTATATAAATAAAATAATCAACACCAAGTAAATGTTAAATAAATACCTCAAATTTGATTGTTCGATTTCTAGCGCCTTCAGAATTGATTGATTGTGAATCAATCCCAAGCACATTGAAATTGTAAGCTAAAGCTAAGAGGGAACTTAAATATCCCTTTCCACCTCCAATATCAACTATAACGTCCGTACCAGCATACTTGGAAAAATTTGCCACTAATTTGGCCATAACTTCTACTTCATGCATTTTCTTAGCACCCATAAATTCTTTTAAATTAAGTGATTTATTCATAGGCTTATAACCCCAAGATTTAAGTACATTATATGCATCGTCTAATTTCATATAACAACTACTTGGATAAGAATTTAAGTTATTATATTTTGTAGAAGCAACAAAATGTGTAAGAGAATCAGGAATTTGATTTTCAGACCAAAAATTTGAAAACACAAAGTCTGTACCTTTTAAATCAATTTCTTCCCGTATATCACTAGGTATTATAGTTTCCCAAAAGTTATGAGTAATAAAATTAACTACATGGCTATTGGCAATAGGTAAATAAGGTTTTAAATAAATAACAACTTCTTCTAATTTAGATCTTAATTGTTCCATTTTGAAAAATGAGAACCCTTTTGTCTAAATCTTTAATTTTTAAATTGAAACAAAATTTTTTGTATAATCCTTTTAGTTCATTATATTGTTCAATGATATCAACATTTTTATCATTTATCTGAGGAAATAATTCAATTAAGTTTGAAAGTTTTTGTAAAATGTTAAGTTCTTTATCAGAAAGAATAATTATTTTTGATTTGAGTAATTTTTTTATACCAATTAAAATCCCGGCATAGAAACCAATTTCTAATCCAATATCACAACCTTTTTGAAAACCAATTGTAAAACCTTCCTTGTATGCATTTTTAGAAGACTTCTCAGTTCCTTCAATATAATATTTTTCAGCTGTATAGTTTTCGCTCAACAGTAGTTCGTCAATAATATTATCATAGTCAAAACTTTTATTGGCATTCATTATAATCTGAAAAATATTAAAGAATATTACAAAAATAAACTATATTAAAAAAAAAAATGTTATTCTTGATAAAATACAAAAATTAAGTGTATAAATATATACTAAACTTACCTATTTAAATTTTAAATTAAAAGATTCATAATTGTATAGTCTTCAAAATAAATATATACAATTAATTATTAAAAAACTTTTTTTAAATAGTACAATAAAAGCTAGTGCCCAGGGTCAGTAATGAACCACCATAGATATATATTATTAACTTTAATAAGATGTTATTAATTCATAATTGACATGCTTTCCTGTTAATATAATATTTTCTATGACACCAGACACCTTCTCTTACTTATTGGATAGTTTGATACTTCGTTACACGGACATTCGTTAAAAGAATATAAGATAATATAGTTCTTTGGTGAATGTTGAATGGTGATACGAGTCTTCATACGACGTCCATGGACTTAAATTACTTTTTCTTATCACCCAAATTATAATATCGTGGTTACCACGGTATTCAAGGTCCTTAACAATGAATGATATTATCATATTAAAATTTCGGAAAAATTTTTAGTTTCAAGTTAGTATCAAAAGAATCTTAATTACTTAAATGTTCGGTTAAACTTTGGAGTTCAGTTTTCATTGATCATTTTGAGTTTTATAGAAATATTTTGCTTTTAAGCCAATTATTTATATTTCAATTTTATGAAAGATTTTAAAACCTTGAAAAATACTTAATTAAATAATTTTACCTACATATTGTTCCTTTTTAAATCTCAACCTGGCTGCAGAAATCTTACAAAGTACGGATGGAATTTTGCAAGAAGAGAACGTTTCAGAAGAATATGTTGTAAATATATTGGAAGTGAGGATTAACCCAAATACTTATGATGATTCGATTGAAAATTTGTCAACATCCATTAACAATAGTATCCCCAAAAATAACAAAAACGAACCAGTTTATGTTAATGCAGATGTGGACAACTCATATATAAAAGCATCTATTAATAAAGTTCATCTATCTGAAGATGGTATACGATTATCTATAAAGGTATTATGGAACATTGTAAAAGATGATCGACAAACTAAAGACTGGATTGGATGTTACAAATTAGGTGCGTATATTATAGTTATTTGGAAAAATTAGTAATTTATTATTAAAACATTGAATAACTTAAGTTATATTAAATTCAACTTAGTTACAATTTGTTATTAATTTTCTTTGTGATGAGGTGTTACTGTATGTTCATTAATTTTTACCGACTATGGTACCTATAAACATTTGATGAAATATTAATAATTTTCAACATATCTATTAATTTATATTTATTATTATATTTTATGCAGTTATTATTATAATAAATAGTAATATATTATAATTTTTTTTCATCAAAAACTGTAATGTTGGCAAAAAAAAATAGAAATCAATTTCTGTAAAATGAGTTGTTTAAGTTGGTAGCATTGTGTTCATTCATGTTTTCGTGGCCCATAGTAATTTTGGGTTATGTACCGGAAGTGAGAGTGGGGTCGGCAGGCGGGGGGTTTCCGTTTCATTCATCTATTCACTTCATTCATTGGCAAATGGTCATATATATCCGTTCTAAGGGCATGGCACTGCTTTTTATATGAGTGTTATTTTTCTCTCTCTCTGTGAGCGTGTGTTTTTAAAATCCTGTTAAATGGTATTCTACGGACTTAGTATCTGTTATTCACTTCCGGTTGGTGTTTTTCGCGTTTATTTTTATAGAATTTAGTGTTGCTCGACTAAAAGTTGCAAACCCTTCAATGCTACATAAAAGGTAAGTTTTGGAACTATGCTTTATATGCTAGTTATATGTATATATATGTATAATATACGATCACATAAGGCCTTCAATGTGTTTAGCATTGTTGATTTTATATTGCGCAAGAATATTTCATTCAACATGACCAAGTTTCATACATATTTATCATCAACCTAATATGTAAGCCATCTAAGGCAATAATTGTGTATTTTGATAAAACAGATTCTTAACGTGGCTCATTCCGATTATAGTAGTATAGTACCCAGGTAGTAGGTACATTATATTATTATGACATAATAATATAAAGCAACTTGTTATTTTCTTTTTAAGTTTTTTGTTAGTGGCTAACGTAAATATAAAATAGATAATTTGATTTATTTATTGCTTAAATGTAGAATATTGATTTACTTGCTTTAAAGATGTAACTAAATATAGTTATTCCTTTTTATTAAGATATTTTTAATATTATTTTAAACAGGAAAGCGCAAAAACGGTGTATTATGATAACACATTTCTATTTTGTTTTTTATAAAAATATGGCATACCTACTTAATATTTATATTTATAATTTAAATACAAAAGCGGGGATAATAGTGTAGTATGCATAATGATTTATTTTAACATCTTAAATATATTTAATGGATATTATAGGTAGTTAAACTATTAAAATTATTTTTTTTTTCAACACCTAGCTATTCTACAATAAATTGCTTTAGAAACTTATATAAATAAATTGAATTATTACTTATATCAACTTGTAACTTTATATTTAAATGGATGTACATGTTTAAGTTTTGATTTCTGTCTTTTGAAAAAATACTATATATAATTCTTATATGTTTTAGTTTAAAAAACCAAAAATTAAAACACTTAACCAAAAGAAGCTATTATTATCTGTACCTAAAAGTTAACATATTTATTAACAATTGAAGTATACAAATAAATAAATAAATAAACATTTCTCATGTTCAAAAAATGTATACCATATTAAGTAACATAAATAACGAATAAAATTAACAGAATAATTAATATATGTTGATCATGAATGTTTTCATATATTTTAATGGAAATAAGGATCCATTGAAAACCAATTTAATCAAATATATTATTTATCTTCTATATAATATTAATATATGTTACATAAATATATTATAGCTCTTGAAGGCAGTAATCATTGTTAGTATATTGATATTATACTCTAGTTTAAGAGCACCGGTTTGTGCATATGCTTTTGATTGCCGTACATTGCCGGACCCCCTCTTATTGATCGTTCAAAAACAATTGTTACCAACCTTATGGTGTCATTATTACCAATGCCGTACACCGAACACTAGTACGGGTAGACATGCTTGGACACAACTAGCTTTTGTCTGCCACCCGGTGTCTATAACTGTATAGAGTATAGATATTAGATACATTAAAAAAAACCAATTTAATTCATTGTCTTAATAGGGACTATAAGCGATGCATGCAGTAATGAGTGATAAATGATAATATTATATTAACCACTCATGAATACATTACTATTTACTACCTATAAACCACTACTACCTGTCTCTCACTAAACAGAGTATAGATACATTTCGTTTGAGTTTTTCAATTTATAAACAATATCCAATTCTGTCATGAGGCTACCCAAGTTCATATTATATTTATATATTGGCAAAATATCTCATTATATCTACTCAATTAAACTAGTTCTTATACATTTTTTATTTAAAATTAATCAATACAGTTTATTTTTCTAAGAACACTCAGTATTTTTTTCATTATTCTTATTCAATATAATTTTTGATTTCTGACTTATTGAAGTGAGATATTTTATTAAATGTTGTTTCAGTTTTTATTATTAGTTTTGGAAAATAGTTGGTACCTAGAAATCATTCTCTTCTATTGGCTATACTTTTTTTGATAAAGTATCAATATTTTTATTGCGTTTAATACTTAGGTACTTTCACTAAAAATTAATGTTAATTTTTATACTGATCAATATAATGTTCATATTTGATAGGTACCTATATTATATAAATTATTTTTATTTATTTGTAAATAGGTAGTATTATACCAGCTACGACCTTATGATCGTATATCAGTAGTTTTGTTATAATGAGTAAGTAACTTCGGCATTATGACTTCTGTATTCATATCAAATTAAGTCATCTAATAGTATAAACCATATTTTCTAAGTCTTTTTATAAAACCCCTTTCATTACATATTTTGTTCAGAAGTAGAGTTTTTAGGGGTTCCTCTTAACTTTTAAGTAGTTATCATCTAGTAATGGAAGGGAGATTTTGCCACCACAGCAACACATACCAACTGTCTCTTCCTTCCACTAAATGCTTTACAATGATAACATTTTTATTCATTCTCCCTAAGATGACAAATCAATAATAAACATAGTTAAGTTTTTGGGTTATAATCAAATTCAGCATCGTTAATAGCCTCCCACATTCTACATTTTAAAGCATGATATTTTTCTGTTGTCCAGAATTTAAATGATGCCATTGCTGTGGCTCTGCTAATATCTCAGTAACTGTAAGAGATACGTGAAGCTTAGCGTCTATAGTACTATGGGCATGTGACTGCTCTAATATCTAACATGTTGGCGTGGTTATTAGTTTCGTACCCTTAGTGAATTAGAATTTAAGCTATCTCTATACTATATCTCATGAAAATCAACAGACTCAGACTCAGAGTTACTTTTGCATTTATAATAGGTATTAAAAGTATAGAATATGGATAATTGTAATACTTTTAAATTTTATATAACTCATGAATAATGTATCATACATTTTCCTCTTACTTA